TTCAGCCACTCCGAGACCACTAACCGCCTGCTAGGTAGGCAACTCCTTGCCTTCCGCGCATGCGCGTAGTGCGGGCTGGCCTACCCTAGGCTCGCAGGCGCCGAGCTCCCGCCGCCACTGTGAAAAATAGTTTAGGTGTTACGGGAAAATTTCCCATGACGCGTGTCGTAGGGTTACATTTCAACATTGCAAAACTACAAGCACGACTGGCACAACGAACTGATCGACTTGAAATCGGGGTGGAATAAATTTGCAACATATTTTGGAATTTTAATGAAATAATATATCCTAAAGTAACGACGATATTTTTTTGCAGTGGTAATTTGCCGAACGTTTTTGAGAAAAAATTAAACAGAGGTACTTTCTCGTCAGTCCGTAACGTCGCAGGTGCTGCGGGTCGGGCAGGGCCGGGCGCCAGGGTAGGCCACCCCGCCGGGCAGCGGCGCGCGCCGGGCCGGCCTGCCTCGCGGGCGCCACGGCAGCGCGCCAAGCGGACGGGACCGCAAGCTCGGCCGCAGTAGTTCGCCGTTCCGCCGCCGCTGCGTGGCGCTAGTGCAGCGGCGCCGCGGCCACGGTCGGGCGCGGCGCGGGGAAGGCCACGGCCAGCACCCCGCCCTGCACGCGCCCGCCGGCGGCGCGTCGCGGACCGAATCGTCGAGGAAACAAACAAAATGTTTGGCGCGCGCGCGACTTTTGCCGGATTGAATCAAAAGTCTGTCAAGCAGCAGAAGCAGCAGACTATCGAGTTTAGTTCTGCCGCCGCCGCCGGCCCCCAAGTCCCCGCCGGGCACACAGAGCAGCGCGGCTCATCCCATGGTCCGGTGCGCACGGTCATGAGCGGCAGCCCCGCGTTTGAAATCAGAGAAAGTCTTCCTCTTAGTGCCTGCTGCCGGAGACTGATATTATATTTTCCATATTTTTTTTTTACTCGCTCCTATCTTTCTCCTATGCGCGCTTATCGCCGTTTGCTCGTCGTTTCCTCCGACGGCTGGACTTGCTGCCGAGGTGATGGATTAGAAGGACGAAAGGGGTGGACGGGCCCGCCAGATCTTCCTCGCTGCCTTCCACTTGACGAAACGATTGTAATTATGCAAATTAAGTGTCGCTTTATAATTATGCAAATTAAGAGCCGCTTTATAAAACTATCCTTAGAAAAAAATCCACAGTACTGGTAAAACAGGTGCTTACTTTTCCAAGTCAATTGATGTTTGAGTTTAAGTGTGCATTTTCTCGACTCATTGTGGTTGTCTGACTAGGTTAAACGTCAATTGGTGCTCAAACTTTCGACACTTCCGAAATGGCAGCTATCTGCACACCATAGGGTCCCATTGATAGCATAGAACTGTATGTGTGAAAAATGTAAACGTTTATCAAACCTCTAAAATGTGGATTGGAATGCTTTTGTGCAAACGTTCGTTAAACCTGCGTTTCGTTTCGAACAGAGACGTGCGACGAGCACATAAATGCCAAACACAGAAACGTGTGCGAAATGTGTTGTCCCACAGATTCATATAAATAAAAAGATACACATCCATTAACTGCGTTGCGTAGCTTGGTCATAAAGAGGCAAAAAACCAATTTTAATAATACAGCGAACGAATCCCGAAATGTGTGGTGTTTAGCGTACCAGACAATTTTGTTTCAATTTTCTCATTTTTTCCCTTTCCACCCCGCGCGTATCAGCCCCCGGGCGCTGCAGCGCGTTGCGCACACTGCTGATATGATGCGATGCGCTGCCCGGCCGGCCGGCCGGCCCGGCGCTGAGCTCTCTCCCGCCGGCCGCTGCACACTAGCGAGCGCTAGCGAGTGAAGCTTCGCACTAATTATTGCCCTTAATTGCCGCACTCCCCGCCCGCCCCATACTTCATGCCGGCCGATACGATACACAACACGGCCGTCGACGACGCGGCCTTTAGAGAAAAACCGAGAGAGAATCACTCAAAACACCCGGAGCTCGCGCTCCACTGGCCGACCGGCCCGACCCGGCCCGGCCAGGCCCGCCCAGACGGCATTCACGCCCCGCCCGCGAGATATTTTGCTCGTGCCGGCGGCTCGGGCACGCGCCCCGGCGGCGCCAAAATTTAAATTCAGATGAATAACTAGAGCACCATCAGCGCGGGCGCCCCTCCCCGCTATCGCGATTGTTGGGGAACGGGGGAGAGGAGGGGAGATGGGAAATTGCGCATAGTGAAAACGAGAGAGCCGCACTGGAAATGCAAGTGTGTGAATGTCGCTCACCTGCAGGTGAGCGACATTCCATTCGTACACTTGGCGGCTGAAGGTGTGAATTTTTCCTAGGAAATTCACACGCTTACCCCCCTAAGTGTACGAATGGAATGTCGCTCACCTGCAGGTGAGCGACATTCACACACTTGCATTTCCAGTGCGTGCAAAATTTTGTAGCACAGGCCGACGAAGAGATTTCTTTTCATCACCTTACTGCCACAAAATTGTCGTACTGGTACAGATGAAAATAAAGTTGTACAATTATAGTTCAAGATTTTAAATGTATTACAAGCACTCAGTATCGACTTGAAATCGAGTGCGAGCAAGAGTGGGAGCTTGGTGCGAGGTGAATGGCATCAAGGCCTTTTAATTTTTATCGCGTTGATTAGAGCAGTGTCACGGCTGGTAAATATTTGTGCAAAAGAATGAAATAAAATATTTCCCGTTGCAATTGCACTAAATATACAACAGGTGCGAGCTAAACGAACTTGAGTGGGTTCTTGTTATCCCACGCCAAGCGGCACGGCCAGAGTCCTGAGTAAGGAGCAAGTAAGAAACGCGAAGAAGAAAAGGGGACGAGATTTACGGCTCAACGGCGAACACGCAAAATGTAAAACGAACAGGCCAGATGTAAAAGAAAGACACAAAAAAAAAACAACTCTGCGTTTTATGTCTTCATCCCCGCCTTTCCTTCCCTAGTCCTAGGAAGAGGCGAGGAGAAGGCGGGGGATGTGGAGGGAGATCTTCTGTGTATTCATCCTAGAGACAAAGACTTAGAAAAAATACGGTCAGCCTGTCATGCCACCGGTGGG